TGAGGGAAATCCTTTTCCACAGGTGAGGTGACACCTAAGAATATCTAAGAACATCTCCTTTGTTTCCCCTCCCAGGAAACGAGCTGCCTGCAAATCAGTGAACGGCTCCCACAAGTACAAAGGGAACTCCAAAGATGTCAAGCCTCCTGACCTTTGGATCCATCATGAGAGACTGGAGCTCAAACCCATCGATAAGTCTCCAGATCCCAATCCCATCATGACAGACACCCCAATCCCTCGCAACTCCCAAGACATCACCCCAGTTGACAATTCCATGGACAGCAATATCCATCAGAGGCGGAATTCCTACAGAGGTGAGAGATCAACAAGTGCTTTGGCCATGAGGTGTTAGACCTTTGAGTGGTGAAATCACTTACTGAGATATTACTTAGTTACTATCTTTTGTTCTCATTTTTCAAGTAGTGAATTGGGTTTGTTCCTAGTTTCTAAGACTCCCTGGAAAGGAGGGATCACGTGTTGTAGTGAGGAAATTGAGTCAAATAGTTACTTTCTCCTGTTAAATACTGATTAGCAATTGGAAGATCATCCAACAAGTGCTTCAAAATAAACTGAGAGTTGTGTGTGACATCCTTTCAGCACACAGCTGCACTGCTGGAAGGTCAGGTTTATTATTGGGGTTTTTCCAGTACCAAATAATTGTCCTCTTCTCACCTTCCAGCGGAGGATGAAAGAGCTGTTTTTATCAGCTGTGACTCAGAGCTGCAGACGGGACCAGAGAGAGGGGGGTTGAAGTGCTGGGGTGCCACGGGAGCTGCAGGTCAATAACCCTGGTGTTCCTCCCTCAGGACACGAGTCCGAGGACAGCATGTCCACGCTGGCAGGAAGGAGGGGGATGAGGCCCAAGATGATGATGCCTTTTGATTCTCAACCACCTCAGCGTAAGTCACCAGGCCCCCATTCCCGGCTCCTGGAGTGGGGAACCCCCAGGCCAGCCACACTGACGGCACAAACAGGGACACCCACACCTGCCTTCCTGCTCGCTGCTCCTGCCTCTCTGCAGGGGGAGCAGCTCAGAGGAGACCCCAGAGCCCATTGTGGGAAAGGCAGAGTTAGACCAAGGGAAAGGGGGAAAAGGAGCAGCTGCATTGGAGTGAGGAGTGGGGGAGAGTCAGGAATGTGTCCAGTCTTATCTGTCCCACTCTGGTGCCTCCCAGGGAGAGCCTGTGGGCCTGGCTGCTTTCGGTACTGTTCCCTTTGAACTCTGCCAGTGCCCAGCTGTCCCACAGGGACTGGAGAGAGCTGCTCCATCTCTGTCAGGTTCTCCACTGTTGGTTTTCTCCTCTCCAGCCCAAGCAGTCCCACGTTTTTAGCCTCCCCTCACGAGGCAGCTGCTCCATGCCCTGTGTCTCTTGAGTTGCCATTCTCAGAGCCTCCTCTTACTCTGAGCTCCTTGGAATCTTTGCCCTCTTGCTCAGCCCTTTGAGGCCCTTCTGGAGCTCCTGGCCACCAGAATGGCATTTGCCTACTCCAGACAGTTTTGTCCAAAATTATTGACAAAGGGGAAGATTTCTCTGATTGCCTCCATGTCTGGCTCACTGAGAAGGAGAACCGATTAAAGCCAGTGCCGGCACTGCTACCTGGGATCTGCTGCTCACTCTCCTCTGTTCTTGAAAATCCACCACCTTCCTTGGTTTTGTATCTGTAACCATCTTTCAGTCCATACAAGAGCCTTCCCTCAGCAGCAGCTCAGTGTATGACCTTTGGAGTGGAGCCTTCTTGAAAATTCAGCTGTATTAGCTGGTTCTCTTTATTGACATATTTACTGACTTGAAACTCTTGAGATCAGTGAGGTCCTTTTGCAGGAGTCGTGCTCACTGTTCTCTGAGTGCCTGTGTTTACCCCTGTCTGCAGGGATCCTCCTCTGGTACCAAAACTACTGCTATTATTGTGAGGAAATATTTTAAGAATTAAACAGCATACCTAGTTTTGAAATGATGCAAAGGGACTAGGCTGCACCTCTGAGCAGCCAGACTGAAACCCCGTGTGAGAACACAAGTAACAAGCACAGGAGTCAACGAGCATGGGCAGAACTGGGCAGTGAAATTACACTGAGCTCCCTGAGCTCTGTGTTCATGTTCCACCTGTAGCCAGGTAACTGCTGCCACAGCCCCTTGTGTTTTTAAGGAATGATTCCAGATTTGTCCCTTCTGTTCCCACTTTATGACTTTTTGCTTTAATTACCTGAAGTGAGCACTTGGTTTTCTTCCTCTCCACCTGCTTTCTCAAGTGTCCTGGTGACCTGATAAGCCCAGTTTGTGAATTTTCAGCTGTTTCCTTGTTCTACAACCTTTTTACAAGAGTAGCATCTTTTTTTCTTGGTTTTGCAATAAGCAGTCTGATGTTCCTTGTTGTCTCCCAGTTTTCCATGTACAAGGAGAGAGCAGAGGATGCAGTTTGACACTAATAATCCTTATTCTGCTGAGTTCCTGTCCCATGCCAGGCACTAGGACACGATGGAGGCAGACCTGGGTGACCCCATGACAGATTGAAGCAGCAGTAAATGTTACCTTGCACTCTCCTAAGTGGTTTTCTGTAAATAGGATGCAGCACTGGATGCACCCAGGATAAGATAAACTCATACAGGGTCACAAGATGCTCCATAAAAACAGCGTAGCAAAGGAAAAACTCAGGGGAAAGACGTTCAACAAACCACATATCAGTCCCACACAGGATGAGAGGATCACAGAGGTGATACACACTTTAGGTAGGCAGTAATTCCAGTTGTACCTGCTGGTTGTGTTCAGGATGAGGTGATAATTGTGGCAGACACAGCCGTGGGTGTGATTTCCCTGCAGCAGCAGCCCCAGCTCTGACAGCCCTGCTGTGTTCCCTGGAAAAGCCTGGCTGATTCCCTCTCTTCCTTAGCCATTGCCTTGCCCAGGGAGATCAAAACCAGATCCAGGCCCAGCTGGTTGGGGTGGGTGGGATGAGGAAGGAGGTGCAAGGTCTGCTGGTGCCTCAGGGCTTGAGGTCATTTCAGTGACTTTGACTTTTTATCCTGTTTTCAAGAGCTCTGAGGGCCTCCAGAAGCAGGTTTGTGATTTATAGCAGCTGCAAACATTAATATCATGCCATTTAGACTTTGCAGAAGCTCCACAGGAAGCTCACAGTGGTGTGTGAGGCCCTTTCTCAGGAAGCACCACCAGGACCATTCCGTGTGTTTAACTCTGAGCTCACAGACACCTTCCCATGGCTCCCCCCGCCACTGGAGCACTCATATCTAGTTATTTACCTCTTAGGGATTAATTTAGGATAATTCAGTCTCTTCCATTTTAGCATAATTTGCAGTGATGGTGTGTACCAAGTGAGCTCCTTCTTTCACTACTGAAATACAAAAATCCTGGAAGGATATAAGGAAGCAAAGGACTGTTTCATTTTTAACACACCACATTTTCTCAATACACTATATGTGGGTAGTAGATCTATATTGTTTCTGTTCTTCATCTGAAATCAAACAGTGCATCCTGATGTGAATTAAGTTGGTGGTGCTGCTTTTTGGCCTGTAATTGGGTGATGATTTTGTGCTGTACATGATTCAGTTCTGACAACCCAGGAGTTTAAGGTGAACCTGCTGAGGGTCTGGCTCCCCTGCCAAGTGGCTGTGTGGGGAAGGGAGGGACGTGGTGCCTTTCAGTCCACCAGCACTGTGTGTGTGTTAAGTGTTTCTCTGTCTTGTGTTCATCCACAGCTGTGATTAGTGCTCATCCCATCCATTCACTCGATAACCCCCACCACCATTTCCACTCCGGCAGCCTCGCCTCTCCAACCCGCAGCTACCTCCACCACCAGCCCAGCCCCTGGCCCCTGGGCACAGCCTTGTCCCACTCAGACAGGGCCAATTCCACAGGTGAGACACAACCCACCAGGGACGTGTTGCTTTAACGGAAGCAGGAGCGAAACGTGCGGAAAGCAAAGCCTGAAACTCGGTCAGGCCCCACTGTGCTGTTCCACGAGGGTTAAGGACATGGGTTCCGTGGGTTTAGGTGCAGACAAAGTCCTGGAGAGGTTGAGCTTTCTTGTGCAGATCCTTGAGATACGTGATGGTGGCCTTGGAAGAGGAGGCTCCGTGTTTTATACACAGCTACAAACAGGGAGATTCCTCGTGCCAAAGCCTTCAGCCCTGAAACTCCAGATTAAATCTGAGCTACTTAACGTGGTCACTTCTTCCCTGGTTAGTACCATTTGAAACCAAGAGAGGAGAAAAGGTCCAGACTTGGCTGACATTCCCTAACCTTCCTGAGTGACCCAGAAAATGGGGGTGATTTCCATGCAGCGTTTTCAGGCTTGAAGCACAATGAATTGCAGTAATTTCTGCAGTGTCTCCAGTGCTCTGAAGATTTCTGAATCCACACTTGCTACATTGCAGGTGGGTGAAGTGTTGAGTTGGAGGGAACTCTGAGCTTTTTAGCCTAAGGTCAGCGTTCTGAGGCGTCACAGCCAAAAGTGTTGTTTCCTTATGAGAACAATTCCTGAGGCTGCAAGGACACAGTGGGGCAATATGTGAGAGGCAGAGGTTTATACCAGGGAAGTGACAGCTCCCACAACCCAGATCCTTCCCTGCCGGTGCTCCAAGTAGGATCACGATGCCCTGAATGTAAGATACCATCTCATTGTTCTCTTGGGTCAGTGTGGAGCCTGCTGCAAACACAGCAAGCCAGGGATTTCATTTGAGCTTGAGCTTTCAGCAAGCAGGAAGAAATTCTTAGGAAGAAATTCTTCACCCTGTGAGGGTAGAAAGGCCCTGGCACAGGTTGCCCAGAGAAGCTGTGGCTGCCCCATCCCTGGAAGTGTCCAGGGCCAGGCCGGGCAGGGCTTGGAGCATCATGGGCTAGTGGAAGATGTCCTTGCCCATGGCAGGGGGTGGAATTAAATGATCTTTAGGATCCCTTCCAACCCAAACCATTCTGTGACTCCAAGTAAATGGATTTCAAGCCTGTCTCAGAAAAAACCCAGGCTCCTGTGTCTGCACTAGTGCTTGGTGTGAACCTTAAATTACAGATTTGGTTACTAATGCCAGGACTGTGCAATGCTCAGGGGCAGAAGGAGAAGGAAGGTTTGTGTTGTCTGCTGTTTATATGAAGATTTACTACGTGGAGCTGTTTCAGAGCAGAACTGCTGATTTGGCATTGCTGGAGATGGGGAGTCATTCAGTTCTCAGCTCATTTTATTACTAGACAGCCATTGTTCACCATAAAACAGGGCAGTCACACAGAACTGGGGTTATATCCGAATTCCCTTCGTAGCTTGTGACAGTGACCTCGGAAAAGGTGCTTCCCAGTATCCTGCTGTGTTCCCATGTGCCCATGGCAGTAACTGCAGTGTGTGTGTTGCAGAGTCCGTCCGGAACACGCCCAGCACGGACACGCTGCCGGCGCCCTCGGCCCCGCCCGGCACCGACCACCAGGACGCCGAGGGCTCCACGGGCTCCTACCTGGGCAGTGCCCAGGAGGAGGACCCTGCCCAGGGCCTGCCCACCGCCCACGTCCGCCCCTCGCACCCGCTCAAGAGCTTCGCGGTGCCCGCCGTGCCCCCAGCTGGGGCCTCCTACGACCCCGCCCTGCCCAGCACCCCCCTGCTGACCCAGCAAGGTGAGGGGGACTAAACAGGGGAACTTCAACAGGGAAGGGCCTTGAGGGGCAGGGGGTGGAGTTGGGCATCAAAGGAAGTGTGTCAGAGGCTGCAGTGAGTTTTGCAGTGTCACGTTCAAGGCCTTTTTCTGTACATAAATAAATTGGACAACTTACTGTCTCCAACAACACTGCAAAATTTAAGTGTTCATTTTCCTCTAATATAGCCTTTCTTAATTGTAAAATCATGATAGAATGGTTTGGGTTGGAAGAACCTTAAAACTCATCCAGTCCCACTCCTGCCAACCAACCCATCCAGCCTGGCCTGGGACACTTCCAGGGCTGGGGCAGCCTCAGCTTCTCTGGGTATCCTGTGCCAGGGCCTCCCCACCCTCAAGGGAGGGATTCCTTCCCAGTATCCCATCTAACCCTGCTCTCCTTCAGTTTAAAGCCTTTCTCCCCCATCCTTATTCTCCTCCTCTCTGGGGCTTTGTGATTAAGCCCAGTTCCCAGTTCCCTGACTCTCTGCCCGTTGGTTTGCAGCTCCCCCCCACCCCGTCCACGCGGTGAAGACTGCGTCCATCGGGACTTTGGGAAGGACTCGCCCTCCCATGCCCGTGGTCGTTCCCAGTGCCCCCGACGTGCAGGAGACCACCCGGATGCTGGAGGACTCGGAAAGCGTAGGTACTCCCACTGCCAGGCCTGGCCCTGCAGTGCTCACAGACGGGGGGGTCGCTTCTTACTCGTGTCACACTTGGAAACTTCAGGAATTCTGCACTGACACTCGAAGATAGAGGGTCACGAGGCTCCAGGCTTCCAACACCTCCATTGCCCGTGAATCCATATAAAAAATACAGGAGAACCACCTTCAGCACAGGGCAGGGTCCTGTTACAGCCCTGCTGCTGCAGAGCATTCCCAGTGTCACTGCACATGGAACATTTGGCACTAATGCCAATGTGTTGGAGCCATCATCCCAAATACGCTTGTAGATTCTCCTGTGAAAGTGTTCTGACTTTTGGGAAAGAGGCAACCACCTGTTGGGCTGCTTTTGGGAGCGGCTGTTAAGGATGTTGAGGATGTTTTGGGTGGGAGGCACTGGAAGAACTGTTTCCCTTTCAAACCGCAAGCCAAGAAGTTTTTCGAATAGCTGTTGGATCACTAGGATCATATATTGTCACACAGGTATTAGCTCTGATCACTGCTACAAGAAATGCTTAATTTGAATTTATTTTACTTTTTTTCCTCATTGTGCTTTCCATCTGTCACTTTTTTGTTGCCCTCTTGGTTTTATTTCTGCATGTGCTGGTCTAGAAACTTGATCTGGTGCCCTTTTGCCCTTCCGTCTAGATGTCACTCCTACTTTATTTTGTTTGGTCAGTACCAAACCCTTACTCATTAGTTTATCCATCAACAAATTGGTAATATTTAAGTAGAGCCATTAATAAATTTCTTCATTGATAAATTAGTACAAGGTGGATTCAGCACATGAAATACTAGTTAAATTAAATTTATAGTTCAAGTATGAGTTTTGAAAACTAAATGATGAGTTGAATTATGGGGTTTAGGGTTAAGCAGTGATTTGAATTAACTCTGGTTTTTTATGAGAGCCTGTAGGAATGAGTTTTCTTTTAGCTGCTGCTGTTTATCATTGTAAATAGTTGGCAGATAATGTGTTGGACCCACTTTTCTGATACAGTCCAGATGTTTGTTAAACTGGAAGTCCATTGCCATCTAAATTAGGAGAAGGTTTGTCTCTAGAAGGAAAGGAAGTGAGAGCAGGGACAGGGTTGAAAACTGCCCAGAACTGGGAAGGACTTGGTCAGAAGAGGCTTGGAGATGCCGTGGTTCGCGGTGTCTGTGTGCACGTGGGCAGTGAGCACAGTGGGGACGGCCCATCAGCACAGCTGGAACTGCACCTCTGAGCCTGAGCCTGTGTGATTTCAGAGAGGATCACGATTCTCAAAACACTTCTGCTGAAGTGATTCCTTCCACCTTTTTTCCAGCTAAGCTGGGAAAACTTTTCTAAACTGCCTGCTCTGGTTCAAAGGCAGCTGTTCCCTTCAGGGGTTGAGACAAGCAAACAGATCAGCTGATCATGGTTTAGTCAGCGGGACTCTGAATCACAACTGCCCAAAGAGCTGCACTCAAAATAGAATCAAAGAATAGAATATGCTGAGCTGGAAGGGACCCACAGGGATCATCAGTCCAGCTCCTGGCCCTGCACGGACACCCCAACAATCCCACCCTGTCCCTGAGAGTGCTGTCCAAGCATTCCCTGAGCTCTGTCAGCCTTGGGGCTGTTCCCACTGCCCTGGGGAGCCTGTTCAGTGCCAACCACCCTCTGGGGGAAGGACCTTTTCCTGAGATCCAGCCTAAACCTGCCCTGGCACAGCTCCAGCCAGACCTTAGAGTGTTGTTTCAAGTTATTAATTCCTGTAACTGTGGCTAAATCCACGTGTGGTTATTCCTGAGTCAGGGCCATATCCTACAGTAGTCCCTGACCATTCCTCTGTGTTTCCTGTCCTGTCCCTCCCTAAGGAGAGCCAAGGCCCCCTGCAGTAACCCTCTGCCTCTCCCCAGACCTACGAGCCGGATGAGCTGACCAAAGAGATGGCCCACCTGGAAGGACTGATGAAGGACCTCAATGCCATCACCACGGCGTGACCACCTCCCCGGGACATGACTCCAAACCGCTCCGCAAGTCGTGGGACTCAGCCTTGGAACACAAGGAATTGTACAGAGGGAAAAAAAAAAAAAAGAAAAAAAGGAAAAAAAAAAAAAGAGGAAAAAAACAAACAAACAACAAACCAGAAAGAGGGACAGCACGTGAGAGCAACGTGGGAAGGAGAGGAACCAACCAGAGGGGACCTGTGTGTCACCGTCCTGCAGCGAAGTCACGGCCCAGGGAATTCCTGGGGGCTGGGCAGGATGGGACACACCAGGCTGGACTCCAGACACAAGGAAAGCGAACGGACTCGCCGTTAGTTTTGTTCTGGTCAGGTTTTGTCTCAGTGGTGTGATTGCCCTGCCTTTTCAGTGTTGGACATTGGCATTTATGTACAATTTTATTTGTGTTTTTATTTTATCTTTTTTTATAAAAAGGAAAAAAATATTGTAATAAAAAAAAAAAGGGAGAAACTGTTGTTTTCCACAGCCTAGGCTGAGGTTTGACTGCTTGTTCTATTGTGTATGGAAATTCATTGCCAGTGTGGGTTGTTCTGTTTTGTTTTTTATTCTGCGTATAATTACGTCCCCTTCTGGCAGTTAATCCATGGCCTTTTGGGATGCTGCACTGCTCTTTGTAAGCTTTTTTTATTATTTTTATATTATAATTATTAAAAGCCTGACTTTCTCCTCTCATCACTGTGAGATTACCAGTCTGTTTGAATTGAAATGTAATTTGAAAGGCTTGTTTGTCGCTTTTTGTGCAGTTTCAATATTTTGAGTGGGGGGGAAAGTAGCTGGGGAAGGGGAGGGGGTCCAGGGGGAGGGGTCATTCATGTTGTTTTCCTGTTTTTCTCCAGTGACTGGAACGACTGAAGAACATGAAGCATCTTCTGTAATGTCCTTCCTTGTCCCTTCAGCATAACTGTGTCTCTGGTCACTGAACTGCAGTGAGAGTCTCGTTTAGCAACATTGCAAGAACTTCCTCCTGTAAATTAGGGTTCCTTATGTTTAGATGACACTACATGCAGCTTATTTTGGCAACTGTTTTGTTGTTGTTAGGTAAAGATGCATTATGAACCTTGCAAGTGCAGAGTGAGGGCTCAGCACAGACCCCGGGGCTGGGGTGGAGCTCCCAGAAGGGGAAAACTGCAGGATCTTCCATCCCCAACACACCAGATCCTGCCTGTGGGAACGCTCCCTGCCCACAGCAGCACGTCCAGCCCCAGTGCAGTGTCTCCATCCCAGGCCACCCAAACAAGGTCCTGCTCTGGAGGATTCCCCAGAGACAGAAACAAGGCAAAAAATGTATTTTTTTACACTTTGGAAAACCATGTAAAAAGAAAACCAGTATTAGTGACTCAGGTGCTGTTCACACATCTGTCTGGAAAGGAAGGGAAGGTCAAAGGGAAGGACAAGGGTTTTCCCTTTCTCTGTGTGTGATTGCCTTGGCTCTGCCCTTCCCTGCCAGGGGGAAGGGGCTGGAGCCCAGTAAAGTAACCAAACCCACCCCCAGGTGCCTGATGAACTTCCAGAACAAAAGGAAACTCCAACTTACTGCTGGTTCTGAGGGAATCTGTTCCTCCTGGGGTTTGGGCTTTCGGGGGGAAGGGCGGGTCTGGATGTTGGGCCTGGGGGAGCAGCCAGAGGGAATGCTGGAACTGCTTCAGTTCCACCAACAAACAGGAATTCTGCTGCTTTTCCTTCCTGTTCCCCACTGAACTGAAGCTCCTCATCCTTGTCTCCAAGAGAGGGGAGAGCCACGGAATCACCTGGAGAGCAGCAGGGATGGTGCTGTAGTGTCACTTCCTTTCTTTTCCCGGACTCTCTGTTGTCATTTCTGGAACATGTCCTGCCTTTATTTATTATTTGAGGGAGGGAAGGGAATCAAATTAATTGGGGCACTGTGGGCGACCTGGAGAACTGATGTTTGGACTTCTAATCAGTACCATTCAGGGCAAAATAAGCTACAGAATATGTGTTTAAAGAATCAAATGCACACCCTGGCCTGGAAGGAGGGTGTGAACCTTTTCCTTTGCCTATTTTTTACCTGTACCCAAAGAAATACCATCCTACAAACACAGTATTCCTGGCGGGAAGGGGGGAGGGAGGGGTCTTTGTGAATATTCCTTATGTATAACACCATGAATGTTAATATTGTCATTGAATTTGGGGAGGGGGAATATTTTTAATGATAAAACAACTGTTCAAAGTTGGTTTTTTAAGGTTAAACTGAAAAAAAAAAAGGAAAAAAACGTTTATTCAATTCAGTGTACAATCTGTATTGCACTTTTTTCACATTTTAATGCTACGTTTTCTTACATATCCTGTGATTTTAAATTTGGAACATTGTGTATCCTTGTAGTGTCATAGTCAAGCTGTCAAGTGGCAGCTTCCCTCAGACATTTGGGGAAAAGAGAACCAAACCTGTATATTGTTTTATGATCTCATGTAGAATAATTTTGAGGGCTGCTGTAGGCGTCGACCTTTCTGTACAATTTTTTTTTGCTTTCCTGTAGTATTTGCTGTATCCTCTATGGCTTTTTTTAATAACTTCATGTTTATTATTTGGTATTGGACGTCCAATACACTTTTTTTAATCCAATCAAATTCTGGGCTGCTTGGAGAGTTTGTTTAATTATTCCTGATCAATACAGGGACCAGGCTTGGAATTTTACTTGCCCTTTTTGTTGCTCTGGGTTGGTGTCTTCCAGAGGAGGAAGAGGAAAATTGTTCCTCTCCCTCAATCCTTGTGCAGACACTGAACATGTCATGTCTGTCTTCCTTTTATTTCAAAGCTCCGTGGTAAAAATATCACCTCTTAATAAGTGAGTGGAGAAGGGAGGGGTTCACATCAGGGAGAGGACATTTAGTAGCATTAGTAAACTCGTAAATCATGAAAAATAATACTACAATCATGGTATAGAGTGCTTTGTCTGTACCTTTTGAAGAGCAGGGATGGAGGTCCTTGTTGCTCCCCCTCGTGCTGGTTCCAGCCCCCTTCTCTCATACTGGAGACTCACACTGGTCATCAGCCACCTTCCCGGTTACCGGTGTCCTTGGGAGCACCACCCTGACCCCTGCAGACAGGAATAATGCTCCTGCAGGTTTTACAGCCCCTGCTCCCCATGTTGTCCATCAGACCCCTCTGTTTGCTCACTAAACTGTGCCCCCATACTGATGTCTCGGGTGGGACAGGACCCCCCAATCCTCCTGAAGGGGAGCAGGACCTGCAGCTGGGCAGGGATGGCACAGCCAGAGTTCGGGGCTGGGCAGGGCTGTGTCCAGGGGAGGAGAAATGGGGAGCAAAGGCATTGATCACTAAGCTGAGAGTGTCCCAAGGCACAGCCAGAGTAAAACCCTGCCCTCTATTGACTGATCTTGAGCTCTGAGCATATGGGACAGTGGAAGGTGTCCCTGCCATGGCAGGCAGTGGAATGAAATGAGCTTTAAGGTCCCTTGCAACCCAAACCATTCTGGGATTCACATGGAATCACTGAGGCTGGAAAAGACCTCCAAGGTCACTGAGTCCCCCCTGTGCCCAATCCCCACCTTGTCCCCCAGCCCGGAGCACTGAGTGCCATGGCCAGGCCTTCCCTGGACACCTCCAGGGGTGGGGACTCCACCACCTCCCTGGGCAGCCCCTTCCAATGCCTGACAGCCCTTTCCATGAAGAAATTCCTCCTGATGTCCAACCTGAACCTCCGCTGGCACAGTTTGAGGCCGTTTCCTCTCATCCCCTGTTCCCTGGAGCAGAGCCCATCCCAACCCCACCCCCCAGCTCCCTCCTCCTGTCAGGGAGTTGCAGAGAGCCAGAAGTTCCCCCTGAGCCTCCTTTTCTCCAGCCTGAGCCCCCCCCGGCTCCCTCAGCCGCCCCTCACAGGACTTGTGCTCCCAGTTCCCTGATACAAAGTGAGTTTTCCTCGCTGGCCAGTGCAGATAATTCCAGGTGCTGCTCGGCCCATCAGTCCGGCTGACAGAGGTGTGGGTTTGTGCCGTCCTAAAGCAGGTGACGAGTCACACCCGCCGTGCCTGTAGCAGGGCTGTGGCACAGCCCGGGGACACCAGATGGCAGCGGTGACTCGCTGGTGAAAGGCTGCAGCTCACGCAGAGCCCGCACGGAGCTGCAGCCTCCTGGAAGGGAATAACTCTGCCGAGGAGCATCGCGTTAGTGCTGCTGCTCTTCAGTGCAAGAAACTCAAGCTGCAAATTACAGCTTTTCCGTGCCTGGCTCTGGCTTTCCCTGCCAGCGCTGTGGCTCCCAACACAGAAGGAAGGGGCTGCCTCAAACACCTGCAATAAATTGGTGCAACACTTGCAGGCTTTTCCCCATTAAGAGCAGCCATCCACCTCCACGTGAACTGAGACTGGATTTAAACCAAATTCATCTCAATAAAAGCTATCCTGCTTTTATTGAGGGGGCTCAATAGGAGCCAACTGAGCCAAAAACATTAACCATTACAACTTTTCATAGGATCCCAGAATGGTTTGGGTTAGCAGGGACCTTAAAGATCATCTCTTTCCACCTCCTGCCATGGGCAGGGACATCTTTCACTATCCCAGGTCGCTCCAAGCCCCATCCAACCTGGCCTTGGACATCTGCAGGGATGGGGCAGCCACAGCTTCTCTGGCCACCCTGGGCCAGGGCCTCCTCACCCTCACAGCCAACAATTCCTTCCCAGTATCCCATCTAATCCTGCCCTCTGGCAGTGGGAAGCCATTCCCCCTTGGCCTGTCCCTCCAGGCCCTTGTCCCCAGTCCAGCTCTCCTGGAGCCCCTTTAGGCACTGGAAGGGGCTCTCAGGTCTCCCTGGAGCTTCTCTTCTCCAGCTGAACACCCCCAGCTCTCCCAGCCTGTTTCTGTGGGATTGGGGCTCTCCTAATCCAGCACAGGCTCCAGCCAGGTTCCACATCTCCCCTCACTACACAGTTATCAGCTGTGGGACTCCTATAAGCCAAGCTTTGAGCTGCAGAGTGCCTCTCTAGAACCTTCCAAAAGCAGACATGGCAAAATTCCTGCCTGCCAGCTCTCCAGCGTGCTGCTCCCTGGAAATCCAGGGGACAGACATCCCAGCAAACATGCAGGGCTGACAGGGCAGAGGCAGCAGCAGGACCAGCCGGTTTGGAAAAGGAAAGTCAGCCCTCAGCAGGCACAGTGTGGAAAAGTGTCCATGAGAACATGCCCGTAGAAGTGAAAGAGTGGAAAACATCCACGGATTCAGCCTTGTGAAAAGGCAGGAAAAACCTGCATGCCATGGGGTGCCAGGGAGACAGACTAAAACCCAAGGAGGGGGAGTAAAAAGCCTTCAGCCTATTGGAATGCTGTTGGACTCCCTTGCTGAGAGGAAGGGGGGGTGTTCTCCACCAGCTGAGGGTGACTCTCTGACCCTGCACCGGTGCCTGCACAGGGCTGGAAGCAGCTGCACTAGGACAATAACAAAAATTACCTTTTCCCAGTTGCTTCCCAGTTTCAGTTTCTGTTTCCCAGCCTCCTCCCAGTACTCATTGCCTTTCCTCCAGCCCTCCCCTCTCCGTAGGCACAGTGTCCATAACAGCTGGCTCCCACAGGGCTGGAACTTGGAGCAAATGCAGTTTTCCTTGATAATTTCTCAGGAGGAACCGGTGTTCCCCAGCCAGGCTGCCTCAGGACATCCCACCCACAGGCAGGTGCTCTGCCCACGGCAGTTGGTCACGGGGCCAGTTCAAGCCCAGTGACACCAGTGCCAGCCCTGGGAACAGGAGGTGCTGCTGCAGGAGCAGAGCCCCATCCCCTGCACCACACACACCTGGTTACAGCATCTGCAGCAGCCCCGGCGCGGGGAAGGCTGGGAGAATTGAACAAGGCATGCAGAGATGGAGCAATAAAATCATCACACATGAACTTAATCCAGATCAGCAGGACTCACCCTCAGCAGGCTGCAGGCAAGGCAAGGCAAGGCTGGGCTGCCACAGGCAGAGGTTTTGCTGGGTCCCTTTTTCATTCTTTCATTTTAGGCTGGCTGTCAGTGCCTGCACCTCCTGTATTTCATCTTCCCCTAGAGATGAGGCGGGGTCTTCAGTGCTGGGCTGCAAAGCTGAGGGGAAAAGAAAGAGAAACTTCAGTGACTGTCCCTGGCTGGCAGGTCCTGGCAGAGCTAGAGCATCCAGGTGCAGGTGTTGGAAAACCCTGACCTGAGTTCAGACCCCCTCAGGACCCTCTCAGAGGGAGCACGAGGCTGCTGCTAAGGCCGACCCCCAGGTCCCACCCTCAGCAGGACAGGGGGACTGGGGAGGGTACAGGACACAGGTTTGTGATCAGACACACGCCCTGTGCCCTGGCCAGGGAGAGCCCGGGGAGAGGCTTCCCCAGGGAAACCAGGGATGGCTGACAGCATCCTCTCGGATCCTGGCATCCCTGTACGTGAGGAAAACACCAGAGCCCATCTCTCCTCCGTGGGCACCGTCGCCATGGTAACGGCATCCACTCCATCCATCCCGGCTCTGCGGAGGACGGCGGGGCCGGAGCTCCCTCCCGCACAGGGGTTTCCCTGGCAGCTGCTGCTGCTGCTGCTGCTTTATCAGGCACATCCCTGCTCCCACACTGCTCCCATCAATCTGTCTGCCGTGAGGATGTGGAGCCTGGCAACAAAAAATCCCTGTTGCTGGAGAAGGGCACTGAGCAGCTGGCAGGGAAACCTCCCAAGGGCTCTCCGTCACTCCCATATGGTGCCCCCTCCCAGCACCCCCCAACCTCCAGGGCTGTCCCTGTGTTATCCTGTGTGGGGCGTCCCTGCTTATCCCAGGAAGACCCCCCTGCCAAGCCCAGGGAGCAGCATCCCCCCAGCAGCTGGACCATATCCTGCCCTCCCTCTTTCATCTCCTGCCCCCACCCCCCGGCTGCTCCTACAGGTTCCTCTTCCTAAGAGCCTCACAGCCCTCACAGCATCCCCATGCCCTGGAGACCAGACTGGAGGCACAAGGAGGTGCTTCACAAAGGGTTTCCATGGCTGCATTCCCTCCTGGATCCCTGTGGATTTGCTGCCCCCTCCTTGCCCAGCTCTGGGCACCAGCACAGATAACTGGGGTGGTTCTTCCCAGTTGGGAAAAACAGGAAAAAACTCAGCTGGTACAGCCATTGCTGGGAAAGTGGGGCTGGGAGTGCAGGGAAGGTGGGGAAGCCAAAAAGGACAAGGCACCCCTAGACATAGGGCTGGGAGGGAAATGCTGCCCAGTCCTGGCCCCAAACCTGTGGGGCCCCACAGAGGGGCCCCCAAACACAGGGCACACAGCCCAGGTACCAACACACAACACCTTCCAGAACCTTCCACTCCAACCACATCCCACACACCATCTCCAAGGGCACTCTGCCCAGGGGGGGACAGAGCTAGGGCTCAGCCTTTCCCCACAGCTGTTCCCAGCAGCCAGGAATTAAAAGGACCACCAGCATCCTCCAAAAATCGGTTTAAAGTAAGGAGCCACCCCTATTACCTACACAGATCTGGAGAAACCTGCTGTTTGCTGCAAGGACTGGGAGAGGTCACACTGGCCCCTGCCCCTGTGCCCCACCCTCCCCAGGTGCTTCCCAATCAGGGCCCCATTATGGGTGAGGCAGCTGGAGCATCAGCAATAGCAGGGAGCAGCTCCCTGATCCCTGAGCCTTGCAGAGGAGCCGACAGGGACGGGCATCGTCCTGGAGCTGCAGCGGGTGGACAGACAGGAGGGGACAGCACGTGTGCTCCTCTGCAGAGGCTGTGCCAGCGCGTGTGGGCGAGCCCGGGCCGTTCCCATCACAGCCGAACAAAGCAGTGTATAAAAACACAAAATAAAAGGGAAGAGGGGGAAAATGACCCTGAAGGGCTCTCTAATTTGCAGCACACTCAGGGACAGCGGCTTCCCGGGGAGGGGAAGGCGTTCAGACACGTGGCACTGGAAGCTGCCGTTAACGCCTTCCTGCCTGGCACTGCGGGACAGCTCCGGGCTGCTCCCAGTCCCTTCCCGGGGGATAGGGTGGGAGAGCCGGGCCCTGCAGCGCCCAGGCCAAGAGGTCACCGAGCGCAGTTCCTATAAAGGGCCCGGCATTTGCAGGGCTACAGCTCCCGTTTTAACCTAGGAAGCTGTTGTGTCTCCTGCACTGAAACAAAAGAGCATCTCCCTCTTCTGAGGGACTCCACTCAATGTCTGTTCTAATCAGGTGCCTCCTAAAAGGGGGACTTGAGCAGAGCAGTGGCTGCTGTGATTGGGGTCAGCTGGAAGCTGAAGGCAGCTGGGCTGCAACGCTGCTTGAAAGAAAATCAATCTCCTTTCCTGCCGCTGTAAATGGCAGAGCCAAGTCAGGATCTTCTTCCCCTTAATTTGCCATAGTAGATGGCACCATTAAAATCAGAGCCTAAAGGCAAAGTGGGGCTCAGACAAAGGTGTGCTGGAATTAGTGAGACAGGATGTTTGAGGCCTCTGCAAATGACGTGACAAAACCAAGGTGCAGACACTGGGGTTAAAATCCAGCCCCTTTTTATCGACAGGGAGAAATCAGGCACTGAGGGGATGGGTTTGGAGACACCCTGCCCATCCAGAGAGCGGGGCTGGGGACATTGGGAAGGCCCAGCACTGTGATCATCCCAGCACAGTCAGACCCCCAGCTCCTCCTCAGCTTCCCCAGGGTGCTGCTGGTGGGAGGTCCCTGGGGAGGGTGGCACTGAGAGCAGACAGTTCACAGACAGGGTCACATCCCCTGGGGCCTCCCAGCCAACACCCTAAACAGGGAGAACATCTGGGACCTCAGGCTTCAGCACTGCTGGTTTGTGCTGAAAAATAGGTGCTGCTGAGCTGTGACCTGGGGCCAGGACCTTGGGGTGTCCCCTCCTGCAGGAAAGCAGCATTCAGCCAAGGCTGCACCTCAAGGAGGTTGCTCACAACGTGCCTAAGCAGCTTGATTTAATTTCTGCAGATTTCTGAGTGTAGACTTGAGTTATAAACCAGGGTGTGGGGGCCACAGGCACACACAAAACCTGGGATCATGACAGGAGCATTTCTCTATGTGAGAAAAGGGAGAAATGTGAGCAAGGAACTGCAAGGCTGATGAAAAGCTGCTGCAAAACCACCTCCAGCTCCTGAGGGCAAAACCAAACTGCTGCTTTCCCTGCCCTGCTTCTCTTCCCACTGCTGAGGGGAGTCATGGAGCCCACGTTTGGCTCAGCAAGGGCCAGCCACATCCCTGCCCACAGGTCACCTCAGCCAGGGCTGCAGGGGTGGGATGCTGCCTGCAAGGGGCTGGTGGTGGATGGGGAGGGAGTCTGTGGCATCAAAGTGCCTCCAGCAAAAAGGGACTGCTTGTTTATGCCAGTCCATCCCAGTTCCTGGGCTTTACCCCTGCAGCCACCACCCTGCTCTGGGGCAGAGCATCGGCAGGGGGCTCCTGGGGGCCTGGCATGGGCTCTTCCCAGCCCTCTCCTGGGACTCACACATGGAGCTGATGTCCCAGGGACGTGGCTGCCACACACCAGTGCTGGGCAGGGAAAATCATCTCCAAGGGGAAGGATCCTGCCTCATCAGGTGCTGGGCCCACGCTGGTGCCTGCTCTGGCTCCGGCTCCATTCCTGTGGGAAGCAGAAACTCCTGGTCAGCCTTTCAGCCCAAGCAGGGTGCCCAGCACTGTCGGGAAGCCAAGCCTGGCCCCTCTCCTCTCCCTCCCTGGGCTCCAGGAGTTTGGTCCCACAGTGCCCGCCCTGGGGTCTGTATTCCTGTTCTGTCTCCCTGTCCCAGGGAGGGACAGGCTGCTGGCAGAGATGGGCTGGGCTGGGCAGGTTTCTGCCCATCCCACCACGTGAGGAAATGAACATTCTGTGCCCTCACCTTCCTCCCCCCTGGCTGTTTCTCCAGTCCCATGGGGAGGTTTGGGGGCCCCTCAGCCACTCGTGCTCTCTGCAGTCTGCAGGGGGTGGCTGCAGAGCAGCTCAGGTGGGTATTCCCAAGGTGGTGGAAAAGTCCTTCAGGGGTATGAGCAGTGGGATGTCACCTCTCTGCCTGGACTCCACTTCCTTCTGCCTCTGCCTGCAGGTGGAGGGCGGCAGTGGGTGTCCTTGCCCAGGCTGTGCCAGCCCTACAGCCACCCCCTCGTTTGTTTTCACACGCTGAGGTTTGGCCGTGAACGGGGACATCACCTCGTGCACATCTTCCACATCCCAAAGGGATCCTCTTCCACAGAGTAACAGGGACAGCTCGTGGTTTGCAGCGCATGTCCCACTGTCACAGCAGTGCTTTGGGTGGCAGGTACAAGCTTGGCCCTGAGGCTGGGTGGAGTCAAAGCCGTCACTGCTGTCTGGTTTTACTTTAAGTAAAATATACACTATACTGTGATGCATTTCTTTCTTTAAAGGGATAGTTCCTAATTTACCAATGACTCCTCTAGCAAGGAGGAAAAAGGTGCAAATCCCTTTTGGTTTTGGGTATTCACAGGAGTACCTTATAGGGTTGCTGCTGCCTCATCTGAGCCCCTCGGCCCCGTGCCCAGGGCTACGAGGTCCCTCAGTGCAGAGAGTGTAAGAAAGGGCTCAGGCAGGGCATGCACAACCCCACCCCAGTGTGAGGCTTCCTGGGGACATCGGGGTGTTGCAGTATCTCTCTCAGGGTGGTTGTGACTGGAGAACAACGCTCAGGGTCCTGCCAGGCTGCTGCCCACACGGTGCTCCATGAGCCGGACCACCAAACACCTCAGTGAGGCAGCAAGGGGGGAGAAAACCCCCATTTCCAAGAGCTGGGCCTCAGCCTGCTCTGGGAGGGTAAAGACCAGACTCCAGGATGTGTCACTGGTTCCCCCAGTACCATGCCTGCCTGGAGGGCCTCATGGATATGGTTCCTGTGCTCTGCCCTACCCTCAGGAAGGGCACAAGATCCTCCTGATCATCCTACCCATCATCCTGCCCATCCTGCTGCAGCTTCTGGCAGTGGGGCTGTGCCTTGAACCCTGCTTGGAGAGCAAAACCTGGTCATGGGGAGCAAAAGGAAGGTTTCACAGAGAAGTTTTAAAGCTCAAAACTTGGATTTTGTTCTATTCCGACCTATAAGTTTACATTTAAACATTACATGTAATTTTACAAAAAATTTTGGATGGGGCAGGACTAGCAACCAGCTCCCTCTATTATAGTAGTGGCATGTAAGCTAAAAAAGCCTGGCACAGAAATTAATTTTGGAAGGTAAAACAACATTTTAGTACCTGAACTTCCCTCATGGAAACACAAGTGACCCAGCAGGAGTCACTTCCCAGGGAGGGTTTGGACATGGATGCCGAGAGGGCATCGCAACAGTGAAAGGAAAGCTGAGACCTGAGGCCTTTTTACCTTCCTAAAATACATGAGCTCCTGACCTTGGCATCACCATCCAGCTTAGTCTGAGACCTGGAAACTGCTGCTTCCTTCCTCCCTACTTTGCCTGCTTCCCGTGACAGTCCTTGCTGCAGGTTGTTCACATCTCTATCCTGCTCCTTGGGCCCTTCTCCAAGGATTCCACAGCCAGCCAGAGTTGCCACGTCTGCCATGAATGTGAAGGATTTCATACACACATCTGCAAAACAGCTACCAGAGTCCTCCCTTGAGCTGTTAAAAAATCAAGTGTAGGCAAAAATTTTACACTTCTACTGTCAATGGCCCAATACAGACTTAAGATGAGAATATGTGAGGTGGTGAACACACTGCTAAAGCTCTGAAGACATCAGGAAAACAGAGACAGAAGTGAGGCAAAGGACTGAAATTCCATCCAAGGGACTTTTCTTCTTTAAACCTCATCTCATGTTACCTGAAGTTCTCCACTTAAAGCAGACAGCAAGTCAGAGGGCTGAGTTTTTCATGTTTTTATTTACTAAGGTTTTTATTGTGTGTTTTATATTGCAAACCCCACCCCTAGAGAACTCTTCCCTCCCTTCCCCCCAAAAGAAAACAAAAGTAACAGTAGTAATAATAATAATAATAATAATAATAATAATAATAATAAATATAGTTCCACCTACTGAGACAAGCCTAGTGTTGACTGGGGTCCAGTCAGAATAACTCAATATTGGCTACTGCACTGCTAAGAGGTGGGAAACCAAAGGAGATCCCCGTGAAACACAGAGCGAAGGGGGATGTTCAGCAGCGGGGATGGAACACACGTCTGTCAGAGCCAGCCCCGGGGCTCCTGTGCCCCCACCTGTCTGAGTGTCCACGGGGCTGGTGAATTCAAGTACCAGTGCAGCAGTCACAGGACAGCCATCCAGGAGGGCTTGGCATTGCTGGGTTGGAGACCTTTCCCCCCTGCTTTCCCACCCCAGAGACAAACTCAGCTCCCAGCCTCTCGAGATGCTCGTTCTAGGGGCCCTCCAGCACACAGGGCAAAAAGGTTGCTAAACCAAACAGAGAACTGAAAAGGATATTGTGAGTCTTCCTTCTAGGAACTGCCTCGTACCTTTGAAAATATGAGAGGGTCTGTAAGTCTGCTTCAATTCCTGTTTCAAGATGAACCTGTACATATTTGGAAAAGCAGGATCTATAGATTATAATTATCACCTGCCAATCAGTCCTATGGGAGGGTCAAAATTGACATGTATTTTAAAACTAGGAGATATATATATATATATATATAAATATATGTGTGTGTGTGTGTGCTTACATGTGTGCATAAATAGACTACATAGGTGTATAACTATACTATATATATAAAAGCATGTGTGTATATATAGATAGATATATAAAATCTATACAAACACACACACACACACACACACACACACACACATGCACCCCTCCCACCACACACACTCACACATATATAGGTGTATGTAGCTAGTAGAAAAAAACATTTCTAGAGTTCCCCTGACCCTTAAAGGAAGACCAAAGCTGATTACATCTGAATTCTGAGCCACCAAAGCACGTTGAAGCAGGAGTGCCCAGGAATGCTGCAGCAACATTCAAGATACAGGCACATGTCAAAGAGTTTTGCAAACAATTCGGTATAAAAAAACAACTGTCAGCCAGTGTTTTGGGGGTGGGAGGAGGTCAGAGAGGGAGTTCGAGGGACCTGTATTGTTACTGGGATAAGTTTTTGGCACTGCTGCATGAAGTCCTGCTTTCCCTCTGGGGGACCCCACGATAGCTGGAAACAGAGGGAGGCTGGATGTGTTTCTAACAAGGGTTAGAAAAGTTGAGCACCTGACTCTTACAGTGAGGTGTACACACCTCTTGGCCTAAGAAAAACTGAAACAGAGAAAGGATCAAAGTAACAGAAAAAGAGACATTCGCTCTAGAGGTAAAGGCTGCATCTTCTCAGTGTGCATTCAGTGGCCCCTCACTCCCTCACCCCACCCTGCCTTGCCGTAGGGGAGCCCAAAAACTCCAGCTCCAGGTGCCTGCCAGGCCCCAGGTGTGTCCAGTGACACTGCAGCTGCAGGGCCAGCCCAAAGCCCATCAGATGCAGCTCTTATTGCTGGTGAAATCAAACGAAGGATTTCGGCCCCCCAGGCGGGGGGAAAGCTCGGACCATGGCTGGCCAAATCTCTGATCTAATCAGGTTTGAGTGGTGAAAACAGAGTTGCAAATCTGGAGGATTCTTGGCTGGGCACCAGAACTACCCTGGGTGCCTCAAAGCTCAAACTCCTCTAGGCTGAGGAGGAGGAGGAGGGCAGGGGTGACTGCACCCCACTTCCCAGTCCTTTCCTAGTTCTCTTCAAAGCAGTCAGCCCATGGACACTGAGACAGTAACGTGAGAGGGGGAAGGTTCAAATGCTTTCCTTCTCCATCCCTCCCTCCCCTTGCTTTGCACACACACTTTCCAAACCATGGAGAGGCTGAAGTTTGGGCCTTTGTGCCACCTGAGTCACTGCCTGGTGTGCTGGCAGAGCCAGGATTTTTCCCACTGCCCACATCCATGACAAAAATACAGAGGGGATAATCACTGCCCTCCGTGTGACCTACAAGGGATTGCTCCTTGTTCCCATCAGAGCATCAGTGGAGTCAGAAAGAGACAAACCTGAAGTGAGGCCTGTCCACCTTCTGGTCACCTTCATCTTCTTCAGGTGGAGTCCAAACCAAAACTCAGCCCTTGGGAAATGGCTAGAGGGGTCTGGAATAATGAAACTCGCCCCTCTTCTCGCTTCCTCTGCAATCTGAGCACAGGAGGGAACGGGGGAGGGAGGGACACCTTCTGGTGCACACAGCGGGACATCCACAACCCCGAGGACCAGGTGCTGTGGACCAGGGTCACAGCTGAGGCCAACCAGGGCTGTTCTAAAACACCAGCTACAGACCTGACCTGATGTCACCTTCTACAGCCCACGTCAACCTCAGATCTTTGTCTCAACAGGAAAACCTTTTTTTGGTGGCTTCTATGGCTGATCATTCACATGTTCCAGCTCAGGCACGCGCCTCGTCTGTGCATTACCTCGTTGGATTAAATTTGCCCATATCCTTTTGTTCCATGTATTAAAATATTCTATAAAATCAAGTGACCAAAAATCTATAGCTCTAAGAATACCTGGTTATTTTCTTTTTTTTTTGATGATGTTGTTGTTGTTTTTCACGTGTTTTTCTTTGTTTCTAAGCACAGTTAAACCTAAACAAAAGAAAAGGAGAAAACAAAGCAGGTGCGGGGGTGGGGGGGAAGGAAAGTTAAAAAAAAAAAGGTTCATGAACTAATCAGGAACTGAACTGCAGGGCTGACATAACCAGCTCTCGGGAGGAGTCCTCACAAATTGGAGGGCAGTTTGGATCTGACGGGCTCCAGATCCCCTGTGAGCACTATGGATTCTTTGCGCCCACCAGCAGTCAGAGGAGCGGCGCCGGCCCCGAACACCAGCGGGTGTGGCAAAGACCCTGAGGACATCTGCCGCGGCAAAGTCACGCGCCCGGGGATCGAGCTGCAAGGCTTCCCCAGAAGTCCAGTCCCTCCTCCAGGAAAAGGAGAGAAGCTGGAAACAGATTCTCTAGAGGAATGAGGAGAACTGTGGCCCAGTGTCTGCGCCAGCTCCTGGGGCAGAGATGGCTGGGAAGCAGAGATCAGCTTGATGTCCTGGTTGAGCCGTCCCGGCGGCACCGGCGCCGCGCCCTTGGCCTGCAGGATCTGCGCAGGGGGGCTGGCGGGCTGGGGCAGCAGCAGCGAGCCGTGAGAGCCTGTGGGCCCGGCAGGGCCACTCTGGAAAGTTCTTGTTGCCACTGGGCTCTGACTGGGAGGACTAAGGCCAGAAGGGGTGTAACAGGGAGAGGCGACACCGGACTGTTGTAGTGGAGACATGGAGGCGAAGGGAGGCCGTTCTTGGTGGAGCTGGGCTATCGTTCCAGTTAAGGATCCTAATGCACTTGGATGCGTTTGGCACAGGCCTGAGGACGGCCCACCCGAGGCCTGTGCCAGCTGGCTTAGGCTGGAGGATGGAGAGTTGGAGGAAGGAGGGGGTTGGAAGTGATTCATTCCCCCCAAAGTCCCACTGCCCGAGAGCTGCTGTAACTGTCCCCCCTGCAGTGGTCTGGTGGTGGGCTGGAACTGGTTGAGAAGACTGGGGGGTGAGTTTGATGAGAGCTGGGTAAGGGACGTCGATGGGGAGCTGGTTGTGGCTTGGTGGAAGTGCCCAAATCCACTGCTGGAAAGGGCTGGCTGCTGCTGCTGCTGCTGCTGCTGTTGCTGCTGTTGCTGTTGCTGCTGCTGTTGCTGCTGCTGCTGCTGCTGCTGTTGCTGCTGCTGTTGTTGTTGCTGCTGCACGGGCTGAGCTGGACCTAAGGGTGATCCAGAAGGTGCGTTTTGGAACTGGCTCAGTCCCACCGAGGAGGTGCTGCTCAAACCCGGCTGGCTTGAGCCACCTGGAGGGGATCCCACCTGGAACTGGCCTAAGCCGGCGGCAGCTGAGAACCCTGCGAGCTGCTGGATGTGGAAGGAAGAGGACGAGGGGGTTTCTGCTCCGGGTGTGTGCAGCTGGGAGGGAGTACTGGAGGGAGAGCCCACGGCAGAGGGGCCGGTTGATGGGATTAGGGACTGAAATCTTTTCAGCTGCCTGGGAGTCTGGTTGGATTGCTGCCCCAGGGAGCCCAGCACGGACACGGGTGGACGGAAGATGGCTGTGGGGAGCCGGGGGTGGTGGGTCAGGGCGATGGCCACGGACGTGGTGGCTGCTGCAGCCTGGAGGGGCGCCTGGATCAGTGGGGTCCAGATGACCGGGGTGGGTGTGGAGGCGGCGGCGGCAGCGGCCTGGACGTTGTGAGCACAGTGAGCCATCTCCCTGTCGTGCTGCACGATCTGCTGGATGATCTCATTCTCCTGGTAGTTGAAAACACCCGAATTCAGGTCATGCTGGACTTTATGCAGCAGAATGGAATTCTTCTTGCCTGGAGAGAAAGTGAAGAGAGAAAGAGTCATTCTGGGATGTCAAAGCATGGGAGGCTTCCTCAAAGCTTCCTGCCAGACTTCCCTCGAATTGTTGGCACTGTCTCCCCTCCACTGTCCTCATGGGATCTGTGCACAGTCTCTCTGCTCCAGAAACAAAATGACAAACAACACATCTTCTGCTTTTGTGGTATGAATAACCTCAAGATCCCATAAAACTGAGCCCAACAAGACACATGTCCTTAGTTAGACAGTAAAGCCACTTTTGATAAGCGTGGCAGACTGGTAGCAAAGCTTATGGATCTGGAAGATTCCCATCTCACACTTCACAATCTAAGCTTCCATCAAAAAAAAGAATAAATCCTCAAAAATGTAAGCTAGTGAAGTCTTCAGTTACTCTCCTTCAGTTACACCTTTTTCTCATCTGTCTCATGTGACTTGTTCACTTTGGAGTCAAATATGTGGGTTTAGTTGCAAGGACATTTCTCTGTGAACAAGGGACAGAAGGACTTGATGATCTTGGAGGTCTTTTCCAACCTTAATGATTCTGTGATTCTACTCTATGACTTTCTGTCAGCTCAGCTGGCCCAGGTATGACCCTCAGACATCCTGCACTTCCCATCCTGCCTGACCACGCCATTCTAGTCCCAGCTTTAGGGAAACTCCAGGCCAGAAACATCATGTTCCAGCTGGCCTTCCCAGCCTGCAGCAAAGCATTAACTCAGTGCTTTGCCTTTGCAATGGGCTGGAAAATGTGGAGGAATGAGTTTGTCTGGCCTGGGAGTGCACCTGCCACTGACGGGGTTGTCCATTAAACCTGTTGCCATGCTCTCATGACACCCCAGCCTTCAAGGTAAGTCAACTGGTGATATTTTTGACTAAGATCACAGTACGGCATTTTCTAATTGTTCATTTCAACTGCACAGCTGATCATTTCCAAGGAAGAATGGTTAAGAGTAGACTGCCCTGTTGTGTGGTAGCTCCCAGTGAGGTTCCACAGGAATTCTGATCCTATACCAGTCAGATCTTTATGATCTGAGGTACATCTACGTGACATCCAGATGGTTGTTTGCTTTTTTAGTATATGCTGTATCTTCTAAATGTGTAACAGGCAAAAGAGTAAGAGTTTGAAGACCTGACTCTCACTCCAGCCAAATGTTAGGAAAGAACTGAAATGATACTGAAGAGGGGAGCTGGGATCCTGGTGTCCTAAAAAGTCACTCAGAAATGGTAGAGTCTTGAATACAACTTGTAGAGTTCCAAATCTACCACCAGAAGAAGGTGAAACAATCATTGCACAAACGAGTTAACTGGAGTATAAGGGAGACACCAGTCACTGCCACACGTGATGCTGGGAAGATAGAGCAAGCTTCGTTCCAGCTGCAAAGTATGGAAAGTACAGAAAATACCCAAAGAACCAGGCTTGAAAAACATCAAGTGGGTAAGTACAGTGTATTCAGCTTCTCCTGGAGTGGAGGTGAACGTCATACCAGTTTATGAGGAAGCTCAGAGACAAAGGAAACTGTTAGGAAGCATTCCCTACTGTTCCAGAAGGAACCAGGAGACACTGTGATTTTAGACAAGCCCATAAAAAAAGGAGCAACCTAACTGTGGCCAGTCTCTTCGCGAACGAAGAACCGGGGAAGGTCTTTCCACCTTCCAGCCTGCGCATTGGATTTTTTAGGTGAGACACAGTGTGCGCGGAACTGAGCCCACCCTTTAATCCTGAGGTTCATCTGCCGGGGCCAAGCACGCTTGGACGGTGGCAGTGAGGTCCTCAGGACGTAGATGGATTGCCTTTACGGGCTAACGAGCTCCATCTGCCCGGGAACCTAACTGTAATTGTAGAAAGAACACACTGAGGGTTTTCCTTTCCTTTACTTTCTAAAATCAAGTATTTATCACTTTGTAAAGGACAAGGTGTGGCCCTGGGTGCTTGTAGCGTGCTGAGCTGCACTGAAACGCTGCCAGAGCTCTGACCCTGGAGCTGAACTGGGACGTGTCTGCTGTGGGTGCTGGGATGGGATGTTTAATGCTTTTGTGCCTCACCTACTGCCAATCACTGCCTCAAAAAAAAAAAAAAAAAAAAAAAAAAAAAAAAAAAAAAAAAAAAAAAAAAAAAAAAAAAAAAAAAAAAAAAAAAAAAAAAAAAAAAAAAAAAAAAAAAAAAAAAAAAAAAGGCAAGCATAAAGGCTTTCTTTTTTCACCTCAGAGCAAGACACCAGCCTGGGAAGGACACAGTCCTGGAGGCAAACAGGGTTCTGAGCTGCTAAAGTCGTTCCAAGGGCTGGAGAGCTTGTCTACACTGGAAGTGTGTGTTGAGGATATTATATAATGGCTGTTTCACTGTATACTGGACTGGAATAACACTGGATACCCCTAAACAGACCTCTACCCATAGCCAAGCACGCCAGAGAGAGCATGAATGTCACCTTTAAGCTGCATTTCTGTAGTGAAAGGGAGGGAATGGTGCAGACACACACACAGATTCATCTCCACCTGGGTTTGACTAGAATCACATACAAACAGGCTCCCAAACTGCTGCTCAAACAGAAAGAGAGCGTGGAGAGAAGACAGCCTACCTCACTACAGCTGGCAGGTTGTGAGGGCGTGACCAGCACTGCTGAGTTAAGGAGGGGCTCAGGCTGCAGGTTTGCAATCACTCCCTTTCTGGAGCTGAAGGTACAAATCCCAGCATGTGCTATCTGTAGATCTTGCACCACTGCAAGGTCAGGATGTGGATGGGAGACACCCTGCTGAGCTCAGAGCTGAAAAGGTGCCTTGCTGCATTTGCTGTCCTGATACTGGACAAATGAGGCTGGGGAGGAAGGGCCGGGGCAGGGGAAGGAGAAACAGCTCTTGAAAAGCTCAACAGCAGCCACTGCTCTGTGTTTGCATCACTGCACCTCATTCCACTCTTTTAATCCCATGCCACCTGCCTCTGGCTCCTGATTTGCTCCGTGTGCCTGACTCGGCCTGGAATTCCCAGCACTGCCCTGGATTCTGATGGGAAGCACAGCGATGGTATCAGAGCTCCCGGATGGGAATTGGTGTTCCCATGGCCTGAGCTCCTGACTACACACAAGGTGCTCAGCAGACTCTGGTTTCTTTGGCAGGGCACTGAACAGAGAATATGTTTTCCAAAGATGCCTATTATTGACTGGAAATGGTTTGATCAAAGCACCTTCACTTTGTGTCGAATTGGTAAAGCAATACCAGTAAAAAACCTGGAATGCTTATTTTTGTTAGTTTTTAAAACAGAGCATTTCATTTTGCCTTTGAAATTACATTACACTTTACTGTTTTCCTGAGCCCAGCTTGTATCTATTAACTGTTTCATTAAATCAAATTTTTCTCTTCTGTTTTGCTGAGAAAATATCAAATTTCTCCTCCAGAACACTGTAGAAAATGACTGAAAATGTTCTCTCAGCTATTGAAGGGGAGACGAATTTGTCAAAATCATTTTTCCAAATAGTAATTGGTTGGCAAACCGAAAAATTAATTGGTTTCACCATTCTAATGAATTGCATCATTTACATGATGTTTCCACACGCCAATATAAGTCCTATTAGTTGCTTCTGGAGAAAATCCTCCTTCCAAGCAGCACCAGATGAAAACAGGCACAGAGCAGAGTCCTGGTGGGACAAACATTTCCCTGGCAGGTCTGACTAAAGTCCTGCATGAGACATAACCCAGCAGCGGAACAAGGGAGTGGGAGTACCTTTGCTTGGGCCAGTGATTCTGAGATTGGTTCTGAGATTATTCCTCCTCATTTTATCTGCGAAGCTGCTTCAGTTCCAAATTCACTTCCCTGCTCTGGATTTGCTGTCCCAGTCCCTGCCCAGAGGGAGAGCAGAGCGGCAGCACTGAGAGGGCTGAAGGCTGATGAGTTTGCTCTGTGTAACCTTTGCCGAAATGAGGTCCTGCAGCTCCCAGCTCTGCTCAGCCACCCGCAGGGAGCCCTGTGTTCTCGCTAAGCCAGGGAGAAGCTTCATCAGGAGAGAGGAAAAGGGACACTGTTCCCTTTCAATCTCATCAGGGAAGCTCTGTGTGACAGTTTGTCCTTCTGTGTTGTTTACCCCTCGGAAATTAAAGTGCTGGGCAGAGTTTAAGGGATGGAGATAAACAATCCACCCAAACCTCATCCTAAAAGCACTAAACAAACCCACCAAGGTGGCCCAGAGCTGGCAGAGGAACCATCTGCAACCACTCCATGCACCACCTCCCCTCCCTTGCTTTAGAACTCCCTCTGGGGTCTAAAAACTCCCTGTTTTCCTCACTGCAACAATGAGCTAAATATGGGGGAAAGGAAGATATTTAGAGCCTTGAAGATGTTCACAGCAAAGCTACTGATGCTTTGAAGTGGAGTGGGGTATGTAAAATTATGGAAACGAAGCAAACAGATGTTGCTCCCTTAATTAAGAACTGCAAAGTCAGATTTTCCTCAACTGTAGATAGCAGACAAAAGAACAGGGAGAAAGGCTCATGTGATTTCATAAAAGGAGCCAGCACTCAACAATAATTCTTCTATCAAATAATCAAAATTAGCTTTCTGTTGTTAAAATTCTGCACAGACACAGGGGAAATTAGCTGTGACTTTTTGTTCAGTTTTCTTTTCAGCTCTCTCTAAGCCCACTGGCTGCAGTTTAAGAATTCAGGTCACTAAATTGCTCTCTGAATTTGCATGTATTTGAAATAATCTCATTTTATTAGGCTGCCTTATGCCCTGGCCTGCTGTCAGAGTGGCTGCCCCCACCACACGGTTACTTCTTTCAGTCCTTCACGCATTATTCACAGGCCTGGTCCTAAATGGGCCACTGGTTGCAGCAGATCCCAGCTTTGCAGGGCTCTCTGCCCTCCCTTCCTTGGGTCACTGGTGTCCTTGTGGGAATCCAGACTGCTGCCACCGTGGCCAGAGGGGCAGGACAGAAAACCCTGGACACACCCAGGGAGTGGCATTTTGCCACGGCTGCTCCCCTGTCCCCGGGAGACTCCCCTGCAC